ACAAATCATAAGCTCAAACTTATGAGAATTTTTATAAGCTGATTTTTTCTGTATAACCAACCCAGTTCAAGAAATAAAATGTTGCCAACAGCTTGAAAGCTTTCTTTGTGCCCATTTGTATTAATACTTCAAAGGGTAACTATTATCTTAACAGTGTTAATTATCTATTTTAAATTTTATCTAAATGGAATCATGGTGTGTATTTTCTTTTGTGCCTGACTTCTTTCATAGCTTCTTTCAAGCTTTTGTGAGATGTGTCCCTATTTTTGAAGTTACACATTTTCTTATATATTCCGTTACTCTCTACTGTTTGACTGCCAGCAATCTTTGTCAGTCTGAAAGTAAGTGTAAAACAGGTTTTAGTTCCACTCACAATCTTTGACTTAATGTGAGAGTGAACGTATTTAACTTCCTTCACTTTTTATGTATGTTTGCTCTATTTTGACGCTGGTCATTTATTGTTCCTCTGTTGGGACACTGATTCCTCTACTGTGAATAAACCTTTCACTTTTGCCTGTGTAACCGGTCACCGTGGCCTATAGTCACAAAACAGAATAGTGAATTTTGTCTTTTCACTGTCAGAATGCCAGTTACGGCTGCTCTTCTGACAACTGGTTCCCTTCCGGAGCTCTGTGGTTGTAGAGTCCTGGTCCTCGGCAGCGGGAAAAGGCAGACGACCCGCGGGTCCCAGACCCCACGCGTGAGTCGGTCTGCACAGTGGGCCGGATCCACCCTTCACCAGTCATGCTGGCACCTGTGACTTCAACCACTTCACAGTTTTTTGGGTCTTCTTTCAAAAACTAGTTTCTTTGCAAGTTGACCAGCCATTAACCCTTTGCTTCCCCAAGGGACAGAGCTTCACTAAAGTAAAGCTGACTCTTACATACAATTGATCAAAGTGTTAGATGATAAGAACTTCTGCCTCAGGGATTCCCACACTCAGTTACACCAGAGAAATTACCAGAGAAGCTTCAAGCAAATGCACTGGCTGACCCCATTCCCAGAAACAGATTCTGATCTAATTGGTTTGGGGGAAAAGCTTCTGTGTCATTTTTAAAAGGTCCTTAGATGATTATAATGGGCAGCAGACCCCCCATTCCCAGACACAGATTCTGATTAATTGGTTTGGGGGAAAAGCTTCTGTGTCATTTTTAAAAGGTCCTTTTAAAATGATGATTTTATATCATCACCTTTTAAAAAGATGATTATAATGGGCAGCAGAGGAATGAGAACCACTGAAACTTGTCTCCTTGGGTGATGGATTCAATTCTGCTGAATTAATAAATTTTAGCCTATAAGTGAAGAAATGCCTCTGCCTTGTTGATGCCATGGCAGACTTTGAGAGATGCGTCATTATCCTAACATTTGTCTTTCCCAACTACTGAACAATACCACAGATTTCATTCCTAGAGCATAATTCCTCATACTTACTATTTTGATTCATAGCAAATGTATATTGTCCTAATGGAGTGTGTTAGCTGTTCAGTTGTTAATACTGGAATATGACTGAACTTTTTAGATCATAATTTGAGACAGGTTTTGGTAATGGAAGAAGAGCTATCAAGACCTTCCTTTTTGAGGAGTATAATGAGGAGATATGGAGGTGCAGAAATACACATGGTATTTGTAAACATGCTTTAGGTCCCAAAGTTGCCCAGGGTGTTTGGACTATGTCTCTGCCTTTATAAGCCTTGGTAAACATCCTCTTAGGTCTCAAGGAAATATAAGAATGGTACAAAAAGAGCAGTCCCCTTGGTATGACAAAGGGACACAGGAGCCAACTGAAAGAGCTCCCAAAAACCAAACCTCAAACAACTTGAGCAACAAAATATGTAATAGCAGATTATAAACCAAATTGCAAAATAAATACCATGAATCTCTACTGATAAAAAAAATCAGTATTTGAATATATAAATAAATAAATACTAGAGAATAGACACATTTCCCACTTGGAAAAATTCCAAATAATTTATGTAGGTATTCTCCAGCCCTAACGTGTGAGATGCATATAGTGACTTTTTCCAAAGAGGGCAATATGGAAAGTGAGGGCAGGGGCTTTGTTGTGCAGAAACTGGTGAGCAGTACCTCAGCCAGGTGATCAAGTTTAATATCAGCTATAAATCATGTTGATGGCACGTTCCCTTGGTATGATATACTGAGAGTGACACTTCACCTCTGTCATCTAAAGTTCAGAACTCCAGCCTAACCATGAGAAATACGGCAGACCCCAAATTGAATACCAAATTGAAAATATCTAACAAATACTATTCAAAATTGTCAAGGTCAAAGACAAAGGAAATGTGAGGAACTGTCACAGCCCCGAGTAGCCTAAGGAGAGGACTACTAAATGTGCTATCCTGAAGGAATTCTTGGTACAGAAAAGTGTTAGACAGGAAAATAGATATGAGCTGGGTGGAAAGAGAATAAGGCCAGGAAAGCCAACTAAAAAGACCCCTAGTTAATCAGTTAAAGTTCAAAAAGCCAGGAGCAACTTGGCCTGAAATGTTTGAATATTCCCCAGATAAAGGAGGGTACCTCAGCATAGCCCATGTCTTTATTGTGCTAATTGCAGGCCCAGCTTATTTTTTAACTTTACCTATATATTGTTTTTTTCCCTCCTCCGGCCCTAATCAAGTAGTTGGCAATTTAGGCAACTAATTTAGCATGCAGGCCCACCCATAAACAACATAAAAGGCAGGAAGGATTCCGACTGAAAAATAAGATTGCATTTTAATACCCAGGAAGCTAAGAAGTAAGATTCTTAACTTAATCTTTACCAAACAGACAATAACTCAGCCCACCTTGGGGGCTGGGCAGGTGGTCTTGTTTGATATGTTCTCAGACCGAGATGCAGGTTATCCCAGGGAGAAATCAGAGCAGAAAGTTCCTTGTGTTAAATTAATTCTAAATATTCAGAGACCACTTAACAGGTCTGCACTCCCAACCCTTAGTCACATTCCTGAAGAATCCTTAAAAGGGGGAACCCCTAACCTTTGGGGGGCGCTCCTGTCTCTCTGAGGTTGCCTGCACTTTCTAAGTGTGTAACCTTTTAATCTTAAACTTTCTCTCTCCAACCTTTTAGGGCATCTCTCCTTGCTGGGATGGCCTGTACTTTTTCTCTCTTTTAAGTAACTTTAAATAAAACTTTTACTATGCTTCACTGCTGTGTCTCTGCCCTTCAGTTCTTTGTTGCAGCGGGACAAGGACCGAGGAAACTACACAGCACCCCCCCACCAAAAGGACACTGGATTCAAAACTAGAGAACTCCAATTAATAATGTTGTTGATAAAGGCATATCAGTATTTGTTCAGTAGTTGTGACAGATGTACCATATAATGTAAGATAATGTAAAAATAGGGGAAACTAGGTTCATAATATATAGGAATGCTCTCTACTTCAGAAACTTCCTGAAAACCTAAAACTATTCTAAAATAAAAAGTTTATCAGAAAAGAAGAAAAAAAAGTGTGATTCCCCAGACCAGTAGTGAGAGCAGCATCCAGGGTGTTGTTAAAATATAAATTCTCAGGTCATGGCCCAGGCCTTCTGAATCAAATGTCCTGGGGATGTAGCTGCAATCTGTGATTCCCTTTGGGTGACTGAGAACCAACAACCCACAGGCTGGCCAAGAGCTCTGCTTGCAGGTGCTTCTCCTTTCAAGTGAGGTCATGGTAGTTTTCTTTTCTGCCCAAGAGTGAAGAATCAGGTGAGGCTTCTTGGTGGCTTCTGAGTACCCAACTGTCACCTTTCACGGAGGAATGATATGCCTGCCTCTCTTCTCCAGATAGTCAGATCTGATCTCCAGGGCCTCTCATTTTTTCACAGCATCTCCAGCCACACACAGATCTCCCCCACCCCTGAATCCCCAAATGTCTAACATGTGCCTGCTTGCATGCTCTCAAAGGCCCCAAATCACAGCAGAGTGGGAATTCCCTGGAGGCAGAGGTGCCCGTGGGGAAACTGGGTGATCCCTCTGTGCTTGAGTTTCTTCACCTGTGATGTAGGGGTGATAGAAGAAGATCTACCTCCTGGTTTTTGTGAGGATTGTGCGTTAATACTCATAAGATGTTAATAATAACATCCACCACTTAGTAAAGACCCAATATGTAAATGTGAGCTATTGTTAGTAGTTGATGTCTTTGCCTCTTAAACATCTCCCCACTTTTTCCAAGTAGCAGGGGTTTTTGTGCAAAATGATGGCTCGACTCAGTAGATTCATAGACACCGGAAGTGACTAGTGGTTACCACGGGGGAGGGAGGAGGAAGGGGATTCAAGGGTACAATAATTCACAATCAATATAGTTTGGTCACAGGGATGGTAGTACAGCGCGGAGAATAGTTAATGATTCTGTAACATCTTATTATGTTGATGGACAGAGACCACACTGGAGGGGGTGAGGACTTGGTAATAGGGGTAAATGTTGAATCACAGTGTTATGTATCTGAAACAACATTAGATTGTTTATATCAGTGATACTTTTTAAAAAATAATGGCTCAGTAAACATTGGGTGGATTGAATGGGTGGATTGAGCCCACAAAAATCCTATTTCAAAGTGACCTACCACCACCACTAGTCTTCTAAGGCACCTTGATTTTGAGTTGAGATGTTGGAAATATTTCATGTTGCTTGTATAATGCTTTTAGGATAGTGCTAGAGAATTGGTTGGAGAATCTATACAACCTGGGAGTAAATTAATCCTACTTCAAACTTCACGCCCTACAGTTGTGCTGTTATCAATGAATACTACCATTTTAAGTTTAATCTAAGGTTATTCTAGTCCCTGAGATCCTTAGGAGAGTTTCCATTCACCCCAAAGACAAGATCTACCACTAAAGAGATCAGCATCCCAGAGAAAGTTTAGCAGCAGGTAGGTAAGTGAATACGTTTGGATAATGGGCTTAAGTTTTTCTTATTTGCTCTTTGGAACAAGTTAAATAGAAATGCAACAATTTACATTACCATAAATAGATAAGCCTTGAGTGTGTTGGTTTGTTTTCCAGATGGGGATTAACGTGGTGGACTCCGCAGTGTCCGGATTAGGTGGTTGTCCTTATGCGAAGGGCGCTTCTGGGAATGTAGCCACTGAAGATTTGATATATATGCTTGATGGCCTGGGGCTCAATACAGTAAGTCAACTCGACATGTTTTTAATACTCATGTATTCCTTACAGATAAAAATTGTAATGCATCTCAGACGTGGGAAGCAATTTGGAGGTCAAAGTTTTACTACACTTTTGCTATTTGCTAAAATGCACAGTGTGGAAATACACAATAAAATGTCTTTAGAGGGCTCTATAAAGTAACATTGCTCTAGCTCAATCACCAGTACTGCTACCATTTCACATTTTTATACTGCTTCATGACCTCCAAAGTACTTTTTCATGTATAATCTGATGTAATATTATACACTTCGTGAGTTAGAGCCTGTGTCTTTGCGATTGTTACTAGAGTTTTGGGGATTTTTTGGTAAGGATATTTTCCTTGAAGGAAACAGATCTTGATTTTCTCACAAAATCAACTAGGGCTTCTGGAAAAGAGCCTAGGGCACTTTTGCAATGCACAGTGGAAGAGCAGAGCTTAATACTGCTTAGCATGTGAGACACTGGACAGCAAGAATATTTTCATTCCTGAGAATTCTAAAATAGTCTCTTTCATACCTGAAAAGTCACATGCTCTATAGCAGCATTTACCAAAATCAGCACCTTGTTTTGCCTCATGCCTGTTAGCACGAATTATTAGTCTGTAAGGCTGATTTTTTGGTGGGTGGAGGGGGACAAAATATAAAAGGATAAAAAATAAAATAGCTCATAGATGATTAAAAATTCAAAATGTTTTCTGAGATGCAAAAGCATCATCTAGATTACAAAATAGGGTTTTCCCTCTTTGTGTCCCTGGTAGCTCCTCTTTCTTCCCTTTACTTACCTTGAGGCTTCTGTAATACCAGACTTGCCTGTTGCCCCCATTTCTGCACCATTCTATCCATTTCTCACCTCTGCCCTCACGCGTGCGTTCACAACCACGTGGAATGGTCTTCCTTCCCATGCTCGATGTCACCTAGAGGGAGGGGAGGCACCTCCATCCTTGAGAACTCTTCCAGCAGCCCCCTGCCCATCTCCCAGGCCCTGCTGTTGGGGTCCTTTGTTTAGGGCTCCCACGCTATCCTCTGTGCCTCTGACTCTGAACTACAGGTTGGAGAATGATCTTAATTCTGGGTCTAGCTCTCCCTGTAGCCAGAGATCAATCATTATAGTTTATTCACACTATCGCAGAGAGACGCTCAATAATATTCATCGGAAGGTGGCTTTCCCCTGGCATTAAACACTAAAAGCTGTTGCCTCTCTTCTCTGGTTTGGAATAAATACTGTTTCATTTACAGAGCAATTTAATCATATTAGAAATGTATGGCCATAACGAACTGAAGGGAAATGGACCCTTCCTTGGACATTAGACGACTGAATTGAACTTAGCTGATGCTTAAAATGTGTCAGATTGTATTCTCTAATTTGTGATTCCAAATGCAAATAACAATGTCTCCATTCCTAAGAAGTTCACAATTCAAGGAGGATTGTTGCGTTGGGTAGCAGCTGTACGTCAACCTCACCCAGGCTTGCGAGCCAAGATTCTCCACAGAATCCAGTGTCACTATGGCCCCCACATCCAGTGTCAATGACCAAGAGCCACCAATTTGACTTATAAAATATCTTGGTTATTCGTCCTTTCCTTACTATTCTTGCTGTAACTACATCAGCACACGTCCTTGTCTCCTTCCTGGGCCTCCACACTCGACCAGGCTTCTGACTTGCCTTTTAACTCATCCTCCATGTTACCGTCAGAGGATTTCACCTGAAATACAAATATGAATACGCTTTGCTTGCACTTGAACAGTCATCAGTGGGTCCTAATTTCCTGAAAAGCAAAGCTGTATTCTGTCACCTAATATGACCCACTTATGCCTTTTCTAGTCATCTGTGCCCATCAGTCTCTGTTTCCACTATAGTATCATTCAGATGCCTCGTAATGTTTTTCTCTCTGCCAGCAGTACCCCGTCTGTCCTTCCTGTCAGTGACTTATTCTCTGTATAAGACCTGGGTCAGGATTTGCCTTACTGGCACCCTTTCCTGACTCCCCCCGACTCCTTTCCTCAGCGGGCTGATGGCCCATCCTTTGCCCTTGTAATCACCTGGGCATATCTCTTCATTGACCTTAACTATAGCACAGGATTTTCTGTTTAGGGGTCCATGTTGCCTGCTTATCTAAAGACATAAATCATATTCTTCATGAGGTTCTTGAGACCCCAGAACATTCCATAGTACATGAGACATATTTAAACACCTGATAAATGATCATTATCAAATAACATTGCATTTTAGTAAAATGGTAGAGAAAGACCTTTTTTGGTATGATATCAACAAATTCCACTGTATAATTGTTATAAATGGAATTCTTGAAAAGCAAAAAAGCATTGGTGACTAAAATATCCCTGTGATGATCACTTGCTGGATATAATTCAGAAATGAAAGATCCATGTAGCTAATCATTTACAAAAGCCTTAAATGTCACTGGATTAAAGATGTTAAGGTAACGTGCCAAACAGATACTGCACTTAAGGCCATTTCTATGACAAAACAAGATTTCTCAAACTAAATGTGAGTACTCTAAAAGCAACTTTACAATAAGGAGCTAATGAAAATCATTTTTAACTGTCATTTTATAAAATATTTTTCTTGATCATTTTTAAATAAAGAGGGAGAAGTAAACTACAAAGGAAACAGTACAGATTTCTAGAGAGAAGTAATTGGATATATTAAAATGCTGATCTCTTTATGATCATTGTTACATAAAGCCCCTCAGCATATTTATACTTGTCTATTTTAAGAAAATTACAGACTTAGATAAGTATTAAAAATTACTCCTTAATAGCAAGGAAGACTGAGTGGGTTCAATTTTAAGTTCATGTTGTTTCTACTCCATGTTGAGGCAGGACGTAGGAATTTACAAAATGCTACATGAGGGCAAATCTCTGGTCAATCCACCTAATGCTCTACCTCCCCTAGTGACAGCAAAGGTGTTGGGTGGGGACCTTGATGATGACCTTTTGTCACACTGAAACTGAGAGGTGAGGAGCACGCCCTGAACTTGGCCTTCAGACCCACCTACCTGTCTGTCTGTCATCTGTGGATTTATCTAAGCCTTTGTTGATGACAACCTCTCTGGCAAACAAGTTCCAGATGTGCACTAAATACTACTTCATTTTGTTTGACCTACAACTGCCTCATTCAATATCATACCAGTAATAGTGTTTCTGAGTATGGTTACAAAATTATGCATTCATCTCTCCTATATTTCTTATAGCTTTACCAGGTTTGTTTCTGTATATAGTAAAAAAGTTTTTTCCACCCTAAGTTCCTACCTATAAACTCCTCTAAACCATTATCATTTCAGTTGCCCTTCACTGATATTTTAGAGATTGTTTCTCATTCCACTGTTGTCCTTCCTAGAGTTTAGGTACCAACCTGAATTGCCCTCAGATTTTCAGGTAGTCTGGCCTATGGTTTCATACTTGGGTCGACTCAATATATGCTTTAAAAAGCAGAAAAGTCTAAAACACTAACTATATGATTCCTGAGAGCAAATGTTGCCCCCAAATCAATTATGAGCAATAATTTGTTTAGTAATTTTATGGCCAAGTATCTACTAATAAAATTAAAAGGAATCTTTTCTCTTCTTTCTCCCTTATCCCCTTCCTACCTTGTATCCTTTCTTTCTCTTACCAGGGTGTGAATCTTTACAAAGTGATGGAAGCTGGTAACTTTATTTGTAAAGCTGTCAATAAAACCACAAACTCTAAAGTAGCACAAGCCTCCTTCAGTGCTTGACTTGAATGAATTTGTGACTTAAAGCTGAGAAGATCCATTTCAGCTACAGATATTCATCTGAAGATCATTATTGTCAACTTATTCTGAAATGTGAAATAATAGACAAAAGTGGAAAAAAATATTCTTTCAAAGAGAATATTGCTTGGTAGATTACAAAGGGACAGAAAACAATACCAGTCATCAGTTAAATTGAAAGCTGGGGCTAAATAATAACTTGCAGACATGCTCTTGAACTTGGAGAAAAGCCTTCTTTTGCTCTTATAGAAAGAACTTTTTAATTTAGTAGATGTGAAAATTGACTTCAGATTTCCCTAAGTATCAATTACTGTGTTAATACTTAATCAAGCTGGCTTAGCACAGTGTAGATATTGTCAGTAGTTTATGAGCTCCTGCATCGTGTGCAAAGTGTGTGGCCTCGATATTATATGTAATGCCTCTGGATCTCAACTTTCCATTTTTCAAGTGAGTTACATTATGGACCAAGCGCCAAATCTCCATCTGACCCTACATAATTTTTAGCAATAGAACATTTATATTTCAAGTATGGCTAACATCTGTTAACTATTTCAATGACTTTATCTTGTTCCAAGAGGCTGTGGTCAATGGCAAGATGCCATATCCTGGAAGCATATTACGACCTCCCATGTTTGTTACATGCATCCAGTTTACCATACTCCTCTTTCATCGGTTATAGTAAAAACCAGCATGGTGTTACCCAACTACTGAGAAACGTAAGGTACACCTGTAGTACCAATGCCTAAGTTGCAATGATAAGAATAGATTGATACATGTACCATGATTCACTTTCAGAATTTTCAGATCACTTCTAAAATGCCCAAGGAAATGTCATTGTGATCCTAACAATAGTAAGGCAGCTTTTAACTCATGAAAAAAAAAAAAACTATTTGCCTTTGATTCAGGGTATTTTGATTAAGTTGCATCACTTTTTGGTTGGCTTTTTATGGTTATTTTTAATGTTGAAGTGGCTGAAATTCTATCTTTTGTAACAGAAAGCATTGCCAGAGTTAGCAAAAATTAACATATCAGAGTTGAAAAGAGGGGCAGAAGGACTACGTGAAGAAAAACATTTCTCTAACCTGTGGAAATCATACAGGAATGATATTATTATATGTGCATCTGAATCATCAGCTCTATTTTTTATGTAGACTTCTCCAATAATATCGGGCAATCTTTGAATAAATTTGAATATAGCTAGAAATATGAAAGTGAGCAGTATGGAACATCTATTAGATATTCATCAAAACCATTGAAATAAAAGGAAATTTAAGACAATACTGATTGTAATTAAGTTAACTTTTAAAATATACAATAATAAGAATCACAAGGGAAACATATTGGCAATTGACAAAACCAAACTAAATTCCCTTGGAATTTAAGGAAGAGGCTTCATTTGTGAGGGGGTTAGAGCAGGAGCTTGCCTGCAGCTCACTTTCTTCCTCTCAACTTCCTGAACTTTGCGTCTTCCATCCGAGGAAAGAGAACTGCACTGCGTATTCAGAACTCCACTGTCACATGTCACCAGGCGAAGCGTGCCTGTTACTTCAGTGTCATCTGTGTGATTAAGAGATACAAAAATTTCATAATGATTTGATCTCAAAGCCTCATTAGTTCTGTATTCCTTATTCCTTAAATAGTTCTCAGGTATAGCCTTTTCAGAGTCAGGTATCAGGATAGATACACTCCTCAGTCCTCTGTGACTGACACATAAACTTGCTCTCTGTGGTCTGCATTCGGCGGCACATTTGATCCATGAGAGGAAGACAGCAGAGGGAAGCTTAACAATACTAATGCCTGGAGTTGGCCCCAAGAGATCATAACATAATTGGTTGGCTGTGGGACTTTATACATAAGCATTAAAAATAAAAGTATACAGGCAGTCTCATAACCAGCCAGAGGGGGGAATCTCTGCTTTAGCACAGCGATTTTTAGAGTGTGGCCCTGGAACCATGAGCATCAGCAGCAGAGCCAGCTTGTCACAGGACCTTTACCCAGTTGGACCTGGATCACCTGGGAGTCAGCTCACAAAATCTGTATCATCAATGTGTCTACTCCAGAGATGGGGGGAGCGACTGGAATACCCATATCAGGGAAGCTTAGCTCTGAGACACTTTCTACCAGTTTTGTGTATATGGTATCCTTCATGCTTGGTGTTGTATGTTTGAAGCTAATATGAGAATCTATATCAAAGATAAGTCAAATAAATAAATAAATAACAAATTAAAGTGAGCACTAGGGAGCCCTCAGGATACCCATAAAGGGAGATTAAAAATAATGCCTCGATTGAGGGAAAGAGACATTGTTACCAAACTACTTTGCTGCTGTGAGCAAGGAGATCTTGTGGGCTTCCTGCCTACCCACCAGTCTGGAGTCTTCTTTGGCACCGTCTGATCCGTTACTTAATGGCTAGACAAACTTCATCAATTTACCTAATATCTCTGAACTTCATTTCAAACCTCACTTCCATGACTCTAAAACTTAAATAATGACAAGCTTTATTTATATGGCTGTTGTAAGGGGTTCCTGAAATAATTCTTACAAGCATTTGGTAAAGTGCCTCGTGTATTAAAGTGACCAGTAACTGTCAACTGTCATCATTTCTTTTATCCCTGTCTACGACCCTGCCTTGGACTGGGACTCCTCCTGTATTATGAGTTGTTTAATTCCCTGGGAGGCCCTCGTAAAAGATCATCCTTCATTCTCTCAAGGGTTCCGTGTCAGAGTGCATGGTTTCAGAGAGTCTGCCATGATCCCAAAAGACACATCCCACCCTCACACCTCAAAACCACATAATTTTGACCCCAAAGTCTATGCTTTCATATGAAGCTGCATCATTGAGCTATGCATTCTAATTCTTTTCTGCATTCCATGTAATTGTAGTTAAAGCAGGAACATACTATGAGACTTTTACCAAGTAACCTGCTTGAAGAACACCATGATAGACTCAGTCTCAATATCTTGCGTCACCTAAAGTCAGAAATTTCTTGAATATTAAGAAGTTGTCCCATTTGGCAGTTGGATAAGTGAGCAGATAGATTTGACATCTACCGCCCCCTGAGTGTTCAGTATTTGGCAGGCTATGGAGCTAGGCAGGCTTCTACTTTTCTCCTTGTTCTAGAGCAAACCTTCTATATGCTTCTATCATGAAGCTCTGTGTTTAATTGAAGAGGGCTAATCTTTGCTTCCATGGTAGTCATCTATCCTCTGCCCTGACTGTGCCATCGTATCAAGCTAATGGAGATGATGGAAGGACTTATACTCTTCTAGGACTTCAGGGAAAAGATCTCAAAACTCTGATAACTTGTTTCATCTGAACTTCCCTTTCTCCAGCTAGTTCTGTAGGGCCCCTATCATTGTGTGAAAGTAGGCCAGCACATCACAGGCAGCCAACCCATTATCCTGAACCACTGAATCCCAAAAAGCAGCCTGTTGATCAGGTTTTCACAGTGGCCTTCTGTTGATGGAGGCCGATGTGTGGCATTGTTGGGCAGACATTCTGCAAGTATTCTCAGATGAAACTCAATCATTTGGGAGTCAGCTAACAAAATGCATATTCTGACTGTGTGTATCCTGTGAAAGCGAGGGCAAGTCACGGAATTGGAATACCAATGTCTGGCTCTTTTTTAAAGGATTAATTTGGAAATGTTTGCATTGTTAGATTGTATTGCTAAAAACAGCGTGTCCCCAAACCTCATAAAAACTTGCTATTTTATTTTAAAACACTGGAAAAATGACTATTTAACTTTGTCCAAAAACCTCAATAGATTTTTTAAATGCATTTGTTAAAATGTAAAAATCCGATTTCTTTTGATGAGTGTATAAGAACAAGTGGCATTAGAAAAGGCATTAGACATTAGGAAAACAGCAATATATTAGAGAATTTCAATAAACCTTTCCATGAAATTGGTGGATGTTACTTTAAACCTCAGTCATGGTTTTGTAAGCGTAGCCCTAAATGTACTCTGTTGAGGTTCATATGTCTTCAGGAGTTTTCTTTTTCCCTGTAGCTTTACTGGCATGAAACTGACATATAACATTGCATAAGTTCAACTATATAATGTGTTGCTTTGATACAATTATATATTATAGAATGATTACCACCAGAGTAGTTAAAACACCTCCATCATGTCAGGTAAGAATATTTAGGATCTACTCTCTCTCTTAGAAATTTTCAAGTATGTAATACAGTACTATTTCCCATGATCTTGAGTGTCAAACTCTAGCATGTGTTGACATGTATTATCTGGCCTCAAAGTCTAGCATGTATAGATGATCATGCTCCATTTCATGAATTTACTTATAATCTGTCTTCAGTTCTTTTGTTGTAAGCCCAGGTTAAAGGGCATAGAATGTACAGAAAATATAAAAGTCAAGACCCTGAAAGTCTAAGCCTTGTGGGTACCTTATAAATTCCCATTGATTTCTTCATCACTTAACAAATATTAATAGTGAAATGGAGACCAAAAGACAATAAAAAAGTTCAGTTACACTAAAAGCTGGCTTTTTGAAAAGATAAACAAAATTGACAAGCCACTGGTAGAGTCACCAAAAAAAAGAGAAAGGGCTCAAATAAATAAAATCAGAAATGAAAGCGGAGAGTTAACTGATACCACCACAACACAAAACATCATAAGAGACTACTATTAACAATTATGCACCAATATCTTGAAGCAGCCTGGAAGAACAGCCTAGAGGAAATCTAGCCATTCAGTGAAATCCCTATCAAAATTCTAATGGCATTTTTCATATAAAGAATAAAGAATCCCCAAATGTGTATGGAACCACAAAGGACTCTGAATAGCCAAAGCAATCTTAAGAAAGATGAACAAAGCTGGAGGTATCATGCACCCTGGTTTCAGACTATTGTGAAGCCACAGTAATCAAAACAATATGGTATTGGCATAAAAACAGAGATACAGATAAATGGAACAGAATAGAAAGCCGAGAAGTAACATATCATGACCAATTAATTTATGACAGAGGAGCCAAGATTATATAATGGGGAAAAACAGTCTTGAATAAATGGTGTTGAGAAAACTGGGCATCAGCTTGCAAAAGAATGAAACTGGACCACTATCTTAATCAAATATAAAAATTAACTCAAAATAGATTAAATACTTAAATGTAAGACCTGAAATCATAAAACTAGAGTAAAACATGCATTTTTAAGCTCCTTAGCCTTGGTCTTGGTGATGACTTTTTTAGGTCTGACTCCAAAATCAAAGGCAAAAAAAGGATAAAAACAGGTGGGCCTATATCAAACCTTAGTTGATGTTTGAACCATTTTTTTTTCTAGAATTGCCTCACATACAAGTTAAAAAGCTGTTGGTGAAACTTGTAGGTTCTCCTTGTAAGTGAACTGAAGAATACACAAGAGTAAATTGGGGTTCTTATTTGCCTGCAGTTTTCAGAGTGGTAAGTTTTATTCATTTATTTATTCAAGTGTTTATTGCACACAGCGAAGGAAGTTGTCAACAAAACGAAAAGGCAACCTCCTAAACCAGAGAAGATATCTGTAAATCATACATATGATAAGGAGTCAGCATACAAAATACATACAGAACGCATACAACTTAATAGCAAGAGAAACCTGATTAAAAAGTTGGAAAAATGTCGATTCACATATTCTACCCAAGAAGACACAGAAATGAGCAGTAGGTACATGAAAAGATGCTCAATGTCACTACCTGTTCAGAAAATGCAAATCAAAACCACAAGGAAATGTCACCTCACCCCTGTCAGAATGGCCATGAAAAGGACAAGAATTGACAGGTGCTGACGAGGACGGAGAAAAGGGAGCACTAGTGCACCAGCAGTGGGAATGTAAATCAGTGCAGCAGCTTCGATGGTAAGCAGTGTGGAGTCTCCTCAAAAAATTGAAAATAGAGCTACCCTATGATCCCACAATTCTACTTCTGGGTATTTTTCAGAAGGAAACAAAAACATTAATTCAAAAAGGTATGTGCACCCCCATGTGCATTGCAGCATTATTTATATTATCCATGATGTGGAAACAACCTAAGTGTCCACCGATGGATGAGTGGATAAAGATGATATATAAGATGGTATATAAGAATACCAACCAAATGTGGTAAATGGGAATTCCACTAACAAAGAATGAAATCTTGCCATTTGCAAGAATATAAGTGGGCCTTGAGGGCATTATGCTAAACAAAGTAATTCAAAGAAAGACAAATATCATATGCTCTTACTTATATGTGGAATCCTAAAAAATACAAAACCGAAACCAAGCTCTTAGATACAGAGAACAGGTAGGTGGGTTCTGGAGGTTGGCTGGGGTGGGGGTAGGGGGTGGTTGTAATGGTAATGGGAGTCAAAAGCTACAAACTCCAGTTATAAAACAAATAAATCATGGGGATGTTGTACAACACTGTGACTCTACTGAATATGTGATAGCCCCCAAGAGCATTTTTATATGAAGAGTCTTCATCACAAGAAAAAAAAGGTTTTTCATAACTATGGTGATGGATGTTAACTAGACTTATTGTGATCATTTAGAAAAATATACAAAAATCATTGTTGTATATATACCTAACTAATCTTAGTGTTATATATCAGTTATATCTCAGTAGAGAACCATGGATTGAGCACCTATTATGCTCAATGCAGTTAAGATTGCATTTGTCTGCAAGTAACAGTAATACAGAGATACACGGTTGCAGTTAATTGTTCTAATACTCTATGTAATAAAATATCTTACTCCATTTTTGACTGTGACCATTGACAGCTTTTAAGTACCCCTCCACCCCACTTTATAAGTCATACTGCATCCTTTATATTTGAGCAGTAAAGAAGGCAGAAGTTTAATATTGAAAAGGAATTGTTTTTGTTAAGTTATGTGATTCCAATAAATGTTTCTCAAACACCCCCCAATTCCTTAGGGCCAAACAAACAGAAGAGAGAGATACATCTTTCTTCCTGTTGACTGGCTGTTATGGAGGATTTAGAATGAGAAGCATATCTTTAAAATTTTTTTTAATTACCTTGAGATTCTTGTAATGGCAGGAAGGCAATGAATGGTCAACTCCTTCCCCATATTGGCCATAAAGTTGGTTTCTCCTGGAAATGAGGAAGTGTAGTACTATACCAAGATAAAATTGTCTCTTTTAATCTGAATACTCAGATGTGAATCAGAGAGTAAAGTTGTCAAAAATGTTCCAGAAAACAAAGAGGCTATAGTAACAAACTAGAGATGTGTAACAAAGGTTAAATAGTGAATAATTAACATGACTGTGTTCTGCTGCTTTGACCTGAATGTTAAACTGAATATGGAAGACTCTGAAAGACTATGCTTGGAGAACAGTAAGGAAAAAAACAACGACAACTCATCTTAGGATTAGATTTTATTTGACTCCAGAATGCTTAATAGGCTTAACATTATGCAGGTTCAACATAGGAAATAGTTTGTACATGGCTGGGTCCTTTTCCACAGAGAGTGAATTTATGTATTTGAGAAGAACTATAAACTCAGCTCTACATTGCCTTAAGTTCCATGTCTTGTTTTCTAGAAACATCAGTTGGGGAAATAAATTATATCTGTACCTTCTGTGTCACCCTAAAAGCACCT